TCCTGCTGGGTATATTTTCATAGGAAATATGATCAGTACGTTGAAGATTTCTGCAATCCTATATCCCCTGTAGCACTAATCACAGGAGTCAAGCTGTAGAATCAATATAAACATTCATCAATCCATGAGTGGATAAAGAAAATGGGGCAGATATATACAACAGAGTACTATTTCTCCATACACAAGAGTGAAATACTGCCATTGGTAAAAATAGGGATGAACTTGCAGTAGTTATGCTCAGTGAAACTGTTAAGTGAAAAAACCAGAGATAAGTGATCACCCTTACACGTGGAGTCTTATTTTATTTTATTATTTTATTTGAAAGATGAGGAGTACAATTCAGGGTTAGGTATACAAATATTCATTATGCAGGTATCCTTGTTGATGAGGTGTGCCCTCTCTCCCCTGGCAGTTTCCCTCAACTGCCAATCCCATGCCCCCTTCCTGGCAGTTTCCCACTATTGCCAATCCCTTTCTTTCTTTTTTTTTTGAGTTGGAGTCTCACTCTGTCGCCCAGACTGGAGTGCAGTGGCCGCTCGCGGCCACCGCAGCCTCGATCTGCTGGGCTCTGGCGATCCTTCCGCCTCAGCCTTCCGAGTAGCCAGAATTACAGGCATGCGCTACCACGCCCGGCTGATTTTTTTGATTTATTGTAGAGATGAGGTCTCGCTGCCCAGGCGGGTTTCGAACCCGCGGGCTCAGGCAATCCACTCACCTCAGCCTCCCAAAAGCGCGGGATTACGGGCTGAGCCACCGAGCCCGGCTTTAAATACGATTTTTTAATGACATTCTTGAGGTGGCAGAATAGTAATTAGATAGCACCCACAGATAGCCATGTGGAAGTTTTGATGAACATTCAAGTTAATATTACTATCCAATCAGCTATGGTTAGTGACTAGCCAAACATGCGCATACTGAGTCCAAGCCCATATTAGTTACGTGATGTTTATTCATCAGGGGCTTGTTGAGGTCCTGACCCTGTGCCAGGCACTGGGGACAACAGGGTCTTTGTCCTCAGGATCTTACCTGAAAGGGGTGGGAGAGAAAGGCAATTACAAGCAAACGAATCAACCGGATGGTTTCAGATCTGGGCAAAAGTTGTCAGAGGAAGTCATCTCTGAGCGTGACAGAGTGAGATGGGATGGGATGGGGTGGGTTGGGCAGTCCAGGAAGGTGCCTCTAGGATGAGTAAGGATTTCTGTGACCCAGGTTGTCTGGGACTCAGCACAGTTGATAGTTGATAGTCATGATTATCAGAACCTGTCCTAGAAGATTCTCTGGAAGAAGCACTTGTTTGGCCCAGAGTCTATTCTTGCTTGTCCGATCCCACAAGGAGACCCCTTGGCCTGGAACCTCGTGCATCTCCAGGTCTCCCAGGTTGCTCACTCGCTCGGCACAGTGGGGGCTCCTCATCAGATCCCTTCTCACCCTGCCGTCTTTATCAGTGTTTACTCCTGTGCAGTCATCTTAGAAGGGCTTGTGTTACAGGATGACAGTGATGACTTTACCCAGAAATTTGAAAATTTCAGAGGTAAAAATTGGAACCATATCATCTTTCTAAATGTTGAGACCTGATGTTTTTTTAAATTCTCACCTGAGAAGGGACTTACTGTAAATTTGTCAAATCTCAGGACATTAAAAAAAATCACTATTTCTCACTATGGCAATATGTGATTTTTTAAAAAGTGTATATTAGCATCTAAAAGTAGGAAGAACCTCAACTAAATGAGGCTTTATAGAATTCATTGAATAGTTTCATTTAGCTGTTGACCAGTGAAAAAAGTGTTGTCAGAGTTTGACCACTGTTTTTCTAGAACATTTGTAGTAAATACTTGTTGAATGAACAAAGGACTACATAGAAATCTATATAATCAGTACCATATCCAATTATCTTTTACTCTTCAGATTAGCAGAGTCACTGAATAATTTATAAGTATGTAGATCTATCTCCCAAACCATAGTATTTTGGAACTGTTAAGGACCATCCTGTAGTGTAACCAACTGCATTAAATAGATACAGAAGCATGAGGTATGTGGTGGTGACAACTTTAAGGCTGTGACTTAACCAGACTAGAACTCAGTTTCTAGAATGTTCTGTTATATCACAGCAAGCTGGTAACTGACCCTTGTGTTTATCGTCCATTGTGATGGCAACAAAGAGAAGATTGAGAAATTAAGATAAAAACTTCAGTACTGTTCTTTCTATACCCGAATCTTTGATCTTCAGTCTTACTTAGAAAAGTTTATGTTGAAGATCTATTCAAAACTGAAGATAAAACCAAGTATGAACATTTCTTTCTTGGAGTGTAAAGATGGGGAAGAGATGCTTCTTCCCTGAGCCTACGAAGCCCTTCTTTGCTCTTTAGGGAAGTGGAGAGAAGGGAAGTTGAGTTATTTTTTAAATTTTTTTTTTAACACTGACTACTGGGAGTTGTTTACTTGTCTTTTTGTTTTCTGGGATAAAGGTAACTGACTTAAGTTTTTTTTTTTTTTTTTTCCCTGACTTAAGTTTTAAAAAGTTGAGACCATAAAAACAGTTCCTGTGTTTGCCATAAAGGTGACGGGTATTGGCTTAAGAAGTTAATTCTTCTTGAGTGAAAATTAACTTCTAAATCAGTGCTAGCATCCATTTTCCACCTGACCACTCACAATGTGAAGGCGGATTAAAAAGCAAGAAGACCCATTCTCTGATGAGAGACTGTGCCATGTTGGAACAACTCTGCTGAGGATTTAAGTGTGTACATTCACAAGGTGACCTTGTATATGTATTTCCTTGTTTGTTGTTTGGACTAGGAAGCCCTACCGATGCTTGTTGAAAGCCAACAGAGATTTAGTGGATTGAAGGTTTAAAGTATCTAGGTCGAGGTCCCACTAGGCAAGATGAGTGACCATTCTGAGGTGTTCCTATTTCTTGAATGGACATTTTAGAAAAGGATCCTATTTTTCTGTGCTTATGTTGTTGATCTCTGTATATGTAATCTTTGAGAGTGTGTTTGGGCATGTTTCTTGTATGTAGATTTCTTTGTATGTTATTTTAAGCACTGACCTTGGAATTTTTACCAAAAAGTGATTTAATTCTGTCTTTTTTTTTGAGTCAGGGCCTTAATTTGGCTCAGGCTGGAGTGCAGTGTCTTCACGACTCACCTCAGCCTCGACCTCCTGGGCCCAAATGATCCTTCCACCTCAGCCCTGCAAGTAGCTGGGACTACAGGTGCACACAACAATCCTGGACTAACTTTTAAAAAATTTTTGTTGAGATTAAGTCTCACTATGTTGCCTAGGCTGGTCTTGAACTCTGCCTCAATCCTCCGGCCTTGACCTCCCAAAGTATTGGGATTATTGGCATGAGCCACCGTGCCCGGCCAATTTTATCATTTTATTTTTCACAATTTATATAGGTTTTAGATTGGGAAGGCTGCTTAAAGGATATGATGAGTATTTTAGTGATATTAAATGTATTCAAGGCTGGGCACAGTGGCTCTGGCTTGTAATCCCAGCATTTTGGGAGACTGAGGTGAGAGGATTGCCTGAGTTCAGGGGTTCAAGACCAGCCTGGGCAACTTGGTGAGACCTCTTCTCTACCATAAATCAAAAAATTAGCTGAGCATGGTGGTGCGTGCCTGTAGTTCCAGCTACTTGGAAGGCTGAGGCGGAAGGATCGTGTTAGCCCAGCAGGTTGAGGCTGTGGTAGCCCAGCGTGCTACTTCACTTCAGCCTGGGTGACAGTGAGACTCCGACTCAAAAAAAAAAAAAAAAAAAAAAAGTATTCAGCTGAATTTACCTTTTGGTCCTAAAACTTGACATTTTAGATTTAGATCAGTGAAGTACTGTGTCTTAAGTTTCGTAACTGGATTCAATTCTGATTTAATAAGTGTACTGACTGAATAAAATGCCAGTGATTTAATTAACAAGCATGTTTAACAGGATGCACTGTATATTAGTTAAAAGTGAAGCAATTAGAGTAGCAGCCTTCCCTGCTGCATGGAAAAGACTGAATCACCCACACAGCCTCTCCTGAGTGAAGCTAACCGTTTGTATTTTTTTTCCTCCAGGGTTTGGAAATCCCTTGTCTCCAGGTTGCTGGGATTGACTTCTTGCTCAATTGACTCACTCACTCAATGGAGACAAAGAGAACTGATGCTCCGTGCTGATTCGTATTTGAATCAAAGCTTTGGGGAGTGTATGCCTTGTTTGTGGAAAGAACCAGTGACACCATCACTGAGCTTCCTAAAACTTCTGAAGATAAGAAGTTAGAGGATTCTATACTTTCTTTTGAACATTTATAATAAATATTTGCTCTGGTTCTGGAGCCCAGGACTGCTGGAGGTGCAAGTGACAAGTCTTGCAAGTGGCCTTATTCCAACTCCAGCAATTCCCCAACAGAACTTAGAGAGTCTGATTATATACAGTCAGTCTCAAGTGACAGGAAACATGCCAACTCAGTCCCTCTTAGTGTACATGGATGGACCAGAAGTGATGGGCAATTCTCTTGGCACCCAGATGGAGATAGAGGATGCCATGTCAATAAAAGGGACTGCTGCTGTTCCCTTCAGAGCTCCGCAAGAAAAAAATGTCATCCAGATCGAGGGGTACACGCCCTTGGACTGCATGTTCTGCAGTCAGACCTTCACACATTCAGAAGACCTTAACAAGCATGTCTTAATGCAGCATCGGCCCACCCTGTGTGAACCAGCAGTTCTGCGGGTCGAAGCAGAGTATCTCAGTCCTCTTGATAAGAGTCAAGTGCGGGCAGAACCTCCAAAGGACAAGAATTGCAAGGAGAACGAAGACTTTAGCTGTGAGGTGTGTGGGCAGACATTTAGAGTCGCTTTTGATGTTGAGATCCACATGAAGAAACACAAGGACTCTTTCACATACGGGTGTAACATGTGCGGAAGAAGATTTAAGGAGCCGTGGTTTCTTAAGAATCACATGCGGACACATAATGGCAAATCCGGATCCAGGAGCAAATTGCAGCAAGGCTTGGACAGTCCAGCGACCATCAACGAGGTGGTGCAGGTGCACGCGGCTGAGAGCATCTCATCTCCTTACAAAATATGCATGGTTTGTGGCTTCCTATTTCCAAATAAAGAAAGTCTAATTGAGCACAGCAAGATGCACACAAAAAAATCTGCTTCCGGTACCAGCAGCACACAGACAGACTCTCAGCCCGAGGGAATGCCATCTCCGAGGGAGGAGTTCCTGCAATTTTTAAACCTAAGACCCAAGTCTCATCCTGAAACCGTGAAGAAGCTTGTGAAGCGGATCCCCCAGCTGGACCCGTTCACCACCTACCAGGCTTGGCAGTTGGCCACCAAAGGAAAAGTTGCTGTTGGCCAAGAAGAAGTGAAGGAATCGGGGCAGGAAGGAAGCACCGACAATGATGACTCCAGTTCGGATAAGGAACTTGGAGAAATTTGGAGCGCCAGTAAAAGCCATTCGGAAGGTTCTGGAAAGTCCAAAACAAATAAAAACAGTTGTACAGGCATCTCGCAAGATAAAGAGAAGTCCCGACACTCCAATGGTGAAGTGCCTTCTGGGGACGCGGACCCCAAGTTGTCCGGCAACAAAGAGAAGCCGACACACTGCTCTGAGTGTGGCAAGGCTTTCCGAACCTACCACCAGCTGGTCTTGCACTCCAGGGTCCACAAGAAGGACCGGCGAGTGGATGTGGAGTCGCCCACCACGTCGGTCGATGGAAGGCAGCCTGGGACGTGCTCTCCGGACCTTGCCACGCCTCTGGATGAAAATGGGGCCGTGGATCGAGGGGAAGGTGGTTCTGAAGATGGATCTGAGGATGGGCTTCCTGAAGGGCTCCACTTGGGTAAGCTGCTGGGGCATGTCCTGTTCTCTCCTCTTCCTGTTCCCCCTCTGTCTTGCTCTTCCTTTGTCCCGTTTCCCCCTCTGTCCTGTTTCCCTCTCTATTCTATTTCCCCCTCTTTCCTGTTCCGCTCTCTGTCCTTTTCCCTCCTCTTTTCTGTTCTCCCACTGGCTTGTTCTCCGCTCTGATCTGTTGCCCCCTCTGGCCTGTTCCCCTCTCTGTCCTTTCCCCTGCCACCCCCGTCTGTTTCCCCCTCTGTCCTGTTTCCCCAGGGTCAAGTCCAGGCTCTCTTTGGTATCACTCTGTATAAGTCCTTTAACCTCTCAGGGCCTTAATTTTCTCTTTTCTGTAATAACAGGGTTGAGTTAAAAGGCCTATCAGGGTTTCTCCTTGTTCTGAAAATTCTGTGATTTTATGTTTTGTTCACAAAAAACACATTTTCATAACTCGTGCATCAGCCTAAAGTACTGCTTCTTAACTGACTTGATTTTATCCCCATTTGACACCTGCTAATGACTGCAGACATTTTTTGGTTGTCACAACTGTCTTTGTGTGTGTGTGCGTGTATACACATGTGGGTATGGGTGTGCTTGTGTGAGCATGCTGGCATCCAGTGGGCAGAGACCACGGACACTGCTAAACCCCGTGAAAGGCACGAGACAGCCTCCTCATCAAAATATTATCTGGCCCCAAATGCCAGTAGTATCGCGATTGAGAGGCCCTAGCCTTCACTTAAGTGTTTCTGACATTCCTGATCTTATCTGTCAAAACAAGCTGTTTTTACAGCAGTGAACTTTCCTGTATGTCAAACCTAGTTCTCAGACATTTATTCCGAATGAATTTCTAGTGGTCATAAAGGGGTGCTGGGAATGATCATCAACTGGAGCCAAGGATATTCTTTTTTTTTTTGAGTTGGCATCTCACTCTGTCACCCAGACTGGAGTGCAGTGGCCGCTCCCGGCCACCACAGCCTCGACCTGCTGGGCTCCGGCAATCCTTCCGCTTCAGCCTTCCTGGTAGCCGGAATTACCGGCATGCGCTACCACGCCTGGCTGATTTCTTGATTTATTGTAGAGATGAGGTCTCGCCAAGTTGCCCAGGTGGATCTTGAACCCGCGGGCTCAGGCAGTCCACTCACCTCAGCCTCCCAAAGGCGCGGGATTACAGGCTGAGCCACCGAACCCAGCTTCAAACATATTTTTGAGAAATCTCATCTGCTCTGTAAACTTTTCAGTGAATGATGAGAACATGAATTGGCCTTTGAGACTCCATCTTATCAGAGAGGCCTTGTGTTGTAACAGACGCCTTTTCCTCATCTGAGTGTAACTTGACTGGGTGTTTGACGTCCTCTGAGGACTCTGAGACCACAGTGCATCTGACATGTTGTGTTGGACCCTTTTGTTCTTAGTTAATGGTAGTTTTTTTCCTGATCATGTGAACATAAGAGGGCAGTTGTTATTTTTTTTGAGTCGGAGTCTCACTCTGTCCCCCAGGCTGGAGTGCAGTGGCACACTCATAGGCACCGCAGCCTCTACCTGCTGGGTTCAGGCTATCCTTACACCTCAGCCTTCCAAGTGGCTGAAACTATAGACGTGCACCACCACACCTGGCTAATTTTTTTGTTTTATCATAGAGACTAGGTCTCACCATGTTGCCCGGGCTGGTCTCGAACCTGTGGTTCAGCCAATCTTCTGGCCTCCACCTCCCAAAGTGCTGGGGTTATAGGCATGAGCCACCACGCCTGGCTGAGAGCAATAGTTTTTAATATCAAATATTTAGGATGTTTTGAGTTTTCTGGGAGATAGGAGACCTAGCACTTAGCCTTCTACAACTCTTCAGTTTTCAGGAATTTAGAAAATACATTATGATGTCTTCATGACATTTAAAAATGACTTTTAGGGCTCAGTGGCTCAGCCTATAATACCAGCACTTTGGGAGGCAGAGGCAAGTGGATTGCCTGAGCCCACTGGTTCGAGACCAGCCTGGGCAACTTGGTGAAATTTCATCTCCACAATAAGTTAAAAAAAAAAAAAAAAACTAGCTGGGCGTGGTAGCATGTGCCTGTAGTTCTGGCTACTTGGAAGGCTGAGGTGGAAGGATCGCCAGAGCCCAGCAGTTCGGCGCTGGGGTGGCCATGAGCGTGCCACCGCATTCCAGCCTGAGTGACAGAGTGAGATTCCAACTCTAAATAAATAAATAAATAAAATGTTTAAAAAAAAAAGACTTTTAACACAGGCTTCTACTTGGCTAAGTGACTTCTACTGGTGTCAGTACTGTTTGGGGTCCCCATGAAACACCCCAGTGTCCTGCAAGAAATGCAATGGCCAGTCCCCAGGAGGTGGGGTGGGAAACCATCAGGGAGGGTTGAGTACCTGGTCACAGGTGGAGTGCCACACTTGTTCTGGTTCTGCCACTGCATTGTTTTGTGACCAATTACATATTGCTTAACTTCTCTTTGCCCCAATTCCCTGTTGGCAAAATTGGCTCACCATCCCTTGTCTTCCACCTCCCAGGGATAATTTTAACAGCCTATTTGTAAAAAGTTTGCAGTCTTTTTTTTTTTAAAAACACACCACTGAACTGGGTGCGGTGGCTTATGCCTGTAATCCTAGTACTTGGGAGGCCGAGGCAAGGGGATTACCTGAAACCAGGGGTTCAAGAGCAGCCTGGGCAACTTGGCGGACCTCATTTTTATAATAAATAAAAACATTAGCCAGGTGTGGTGGCGCACATCTGTGGTTCCAGCTACTTGGAAGGCTGAGGTGGAAGGATTACCTGAGTCCAGGATGTCAAGACTGTTGGCCATGAGCCTGCCACTGCACTCCAGCTTGGTTGACAGAGTGAGACTCTGACTCAACAAAATAAAAGTAAACAAAGGTAAATACCACTGTAAAGTCAAAGATGATGCTTGAAAGAGCAGGAAGGAGCCAGGTAGATGTGGAAATGTCATGTTCTTTGTTCTATAGTCAAGGCATTTCATAGCTTTTTGGATATGATGCAAGGTCCCATAAATCCTGACACATAGTTAGGAGTAGGAAATTGCAACAAGGTGCAAATCTGCCGTAAATCCAGCTAGCTCGGCATGATTGTAAGAAAGAAAGCTGGGCATTCTATGTTTAGGAAATGGATTTTTCCAAACTTGTCTCTATTATTATGTGGTTTCTATAGTTAGATTTATCTTATTGTGCTGTCAGCCTGGCTTTCTTTAGATTTACTTTTAGGAGATCAACAAACAAAATAATTACGATACCTCTTTAGATCAAGGCTTGTCTCTGTCTTATAGATGGATATACTTTCCCTAGAGGGGAGATTAGGAATAATAGAAATGGAGAGTCCTGTCTTCTCTCTCTGAAGGCTCATTGAGGTGTGCCTGTCAGCTGCTTCTTTTTGGTTTTTGTTTTTTTTTTTGGGTTGGAGTCTCACTCTGTCACCAAGGCTAGAGTGCAGTGGCATGCTCATGGCCACTGCAGCCTCGACTTCCTTGGGCTCAGGCAATCCTTCTGCCTCAGCCTTGCAAGTAGCCGGAACTACAGTTGCATGCTACCACACCTGGTTAAGTTTTTTATTTATTGTAGATTTATTTATTATTGGTCTCACTCTGCCAAGTTGCCCAGTCTGGTCTTGAACCCATGGGCCCAGGCACTCCGCTCGCCTCAGCCTCCCAATGTGCTGGGATTATAGACTTGAGCCACCACGTCTGGCCAGCTGCTTTTTAAAATTAGTAAGCTGTAAGCAATCTACATACACAAGATGCAGAAGGAACAGGGAAGAGGCCTTTTAATTGGACATAACAGTTTTGCAAGGCAAAATGACCAGTTGAATCATGCTAGTATTTAAGAGTTGGCCAGACTTTTGTTGTAGTCATTCATATTGTAATGTATATAATAGGATCTGCAATGAGGGGTCTCTGTCACCCAGGCTGGAGTGCAGTGGCAAACTCATGGCCACTGCAGCCTCAACTTGCTGGGCTCAGGCAGTCCTGCCTCAGCCTTCCAAGTAGCTGGATCCACAGGTGTGTGCCACCACATCCTGCTAATTTTTTGATTTATTGTAGAGACAAGGTCTCACCATGTTGCCCAGGCTGGTCTCGAACCCGTGGGCTCGTGAAATTCTCTCGCCTTTGCTTTCCAAAGTGCTGGAATTACAGGCGTGAGCCACCGCACCCGGCAATGAGGGGACTTTTATTGGAACTTACACTTTCATTTTGGTGGGTGATGTTTTCATTGAGGCACATCTGACTGTCTCTTGGAGGCTGTGTGCATTTGCAGTCTAGTCATCCTGTAATTAGGCCCAGTGGGCTTCTCCTGTCGCAGATAGGACACACTGTCGTGATTATCCTGCAAAGGTTGAAGTTCAAAGTTTAACACATTGTTATTTAGGGACAGATTTTGATTTGTCAGCTCTGTTTTGCCCACGTGAGTGCTGTGGACAATATCATCTGCTTTCCAAAACTTTATTAAGTTTTCACAAACTTTCCTAGGTGTTTGTCCAATACTAAAATTTATTTTCTGTTGCGATTAGGTTGTGCTTGCTACCCTCTAGTGGTAACTTGTGTAATCTTAAGATTAAAAAGTATTTTTCTTACAGGTGGTTAGAAGAATTGACAGTTTATACTGGCTCGTTTTCTTTTTTTCTTTTTTTTTTTTGAGTCGAAGTCTCACTCTGTCACCCAGGCTGGCCTCAGGCGATCTTTCCACCTCAGCCTTCCAGGTAGCTGGAACTACGGGTGCATGCCACTGTGCCCTGCTAATTTTTTTCTGATTTATTTATAGAGATGCAGTCTCTCCAAGTTGCCCAGACTGGTCTCTAACCTGTGGGCTCAGGCAACTCTCTCACCTCGGCTTCCCAAAGTACTGGGATTATAGGTGTGAGCCACTGCGCCCGGCCCACTGGCTTGTTTTTTAAGTTACTTATTCTGAAGAAGATGGCTTTTGCAGCCAGTGTGGTGCACCCATCTTCAGGTGGCCAGGTCCTGCTTGCTCGGAGTTGTTGAGAACAGGAAGCTGCCCATGCAGTTCAATCTGTTAAATGATCTTTCTTGCAGGGCACGTGGCTCATGCCTGAAATCCCAGCACTTTGGGAGGCAGAGGCAAGATAATTGCCTGAGTCCAGGAATTTGAGACCAGCTTGAGCAACATGGCAAGACTTCGTCTCTATAATAAAAAAATTATCCGGGTATGGAGGCACGTGCCTGTAGTTCCAGCTACTTGGAAGGCTGAGGGGGAAGTATTGCCCAGGAAGTCGAGGCTGTGGTAGCCATGAGCATGCCACTGCGTTCCAGCCTGGGTGACAGAGACTCCAACTCAAAACAAAACAAAAATATGATCTCGCTTGTGATTAGGCAAATAACTGAATCTCTAGTGGTGTACTCTGCTATACCCAAAAAAGAAAAAACCTACACATATAGTGCACATGTTATAAAACAAAGTTTCAAACAACTTCAGAATAGCATTTAGTGTGTTTTTAGCCTTTTTGATTCTATAGTATTAATATAACAATTTTTTCATGCTTTTCAGAGATGTTTATATCCAAAATATTTAAGTCAAAATGCCTTTTTCATGTGCTTCAGCCGCCTTCTTACAAATATTTTTGTTTCCGCTTTAAGATAAAAATGATGATGGAGGAAAAATAAAGCATCTTACATCCTCAAGAGAGTGTAGTTATTGTGGAAAGTTTTTCCGTTCAAATTATTACCTCAATATTCATCTCAGAACGCACACAGGTAAAGAACTTTTTTTTAACATGTATTAGTTAAAACTTATGTCATTCTCTGATTTCTTGTTCAGATTGTTAGTCATTGGAGTAGCCTATGAATAGATGTATATTGTGTTGATTGCAGCTGTTATTTTTATTCTTTTAGTACCACTGTAGCTTGTTTGTTTTGTAGTTAATTTCTTGTTTAGTTTGTGATTACTGTATCCTGATTCTCATATTTTTAAAACCCCCAATATTTTGAAATGCATCTTTTCTATATCTTTACACCTTAGAATGAAATGAAAATATATTCAATAGTCTTTCGATTGCAGAAGCAGCTGTAACGTCATGGTGTAGGAAGCTGCGTGGACTTGAATTTCACCTCTTTCATTTACTAGCGGTGCAGCCTTGGCCAAGTTATTTAACCCTTTTATTTTATTTTATTTTATTTTTTTAGCTGTGAAAGTAGAATAGTAATATTCACTTCCATAGGGCTCTTGGGAAGATAATATAAATTAGAAGCATTGCTGTTATTTTATTTTTCTATTTAAAGTTTGTGTTCAAAGTTTCAAATATTCAATATAGGAAGGGTGATAAAGTAAACCTCAAGAGAAATCCTGAGTATGAAGATCATTAGATAGAGAAGGGAAAGGGAAAAAAACCCAGGTTTTCTCAATAATAGATTCTTCTAGTTTCCAAAGACTTATTGATACTTCTTGTAAACTTCTGTTAAGAGAGCATCATTTCTTGTTTTAGGTGAAAAACCATACAAATGTGAATTTTGTGACTATGCTGCAGCCCAGAAAACATCCCTGAGGTATCACCTGGAGAGACATCACAAGGATAAGCAGATCGATGCTGCTGCTGAAGCCAAGAATGACGGCAAAAGTCAGGACCCGGAAGATGTACTATTAGCTGCCGACAGTGCGCAGACCAAAAATTTGAAAAGATTTTTTGATGGTGCCAAAGATGTAAAGGGCAGTCCACCTGCAAAGCAGCTGAAGGAGATGCCTTCTGTGTTTCAGAATGTTCTGGGCAGTGCTGTCCTCTCACCAGCACACAAAGATACTCAGGATTTCCATAAAAATGCAGCCGATGACACTGCGGAGAAGGTGAACAAAAATACTACCCCTGCTTTCCTGGACATGTTAAAAAAGAGACCGGCGATTGAACCTCAGACAAATCACCTCATCTGTAAAACCGAAGCGGCTGTCACTCCTCCTCCTGACGGCAGTGCCACCCCTAACGCTGACATCAACTCCAAAGAGAAGAAAACCGAGATTGCAGCAGACTGCAAATACAAGCCGAGCCCCGATTGTCTTGAGAAACCTTTAAACTTGTCCCTTGGGGCTCTTCACAGTTGTCCGGCCATTTCTTTGAGTAAAAGTTTAATGCCAAGTATCACCTGCCCGTTTTGTACCTTCAAGACATTTTATCCAGAAGTTTTAATGATGCACCAGAGACTAGAACATAAATACAATCCCGACATTCATAAAAACTGTCGCAGCAAATCTCTGCTTAGAAGCAGGCGCACTGGATGCCCACCAGCCTTGCTGGGAAAAGATGTGCCTCCCCTGTCTAGTCTCCACAAACCCAAGCCCAAGTCTGCCTTCCCAGTGCAGTCCAAGTCCCTGCCGTCGGAGAAGGTAAAACAGAGCCCACTTGGGCCAGGCAAGGCCCCTCTGGCTTCAGGAATGGACTCGAGCACTTTAGCCCCAAGCAACCTGAAGTCCCATCGGCTACCGCAGGGCATCGGGGGCCAGGGTGCTGCCACTGCCAGACAGCAGCAGTCTGAGATGTTTTCTAAAGCCAGTGTTTCTCCCGCACCGGATAAAACAAAAAGACCCGAGACAAAGTTAAAGCCTCTCATGGTAGCCGCTCCTCAGCCCGCCCTCGGCAGCAGTAATGTCAATGGCGCCTTTGACTACCCTCCGAAGAACGACAGCCCGTGGGCCCCTCCAGGAAGAGATTACTTTTGTAATCGGAATACGAGCAATGCCACAGCAGAATTTGGAGAGCCCCTTCCAAAAAGACTGAAGTCTGGTTTGGTCACTCTTGACGTCGACCAGCCTGGGCCCAACTACCGCAGAGGCTACGACCTCCCCAAGTACCACGTGGTCCGAGGCATCACGTCGTTGCTGCCTCCAGAGTGTGTGTGCCCCTCGCCAATATTGCCCCCCAAAGCCAGGTTCCTGAGCTCCGGTGAGGTGGATGCTCCCAGCATGCTGACTGTCCAGAAGCCCTATGGTGGTGGCGCTGGGCCATTGTTCACATGTGGACCCGCCAGCAGTCCAGCATCCAGTTCAGCGCTAGAAGGTATTGTATCGGGGCATCATGCATGTGTGTTTATGTGTTTTTTTTTTTTTGAGTTGGAGTTTCAGTCGCCCAGACTGGAGTGCAGTGGCCACTCCCAGTCACTGCAGCCTCGCTTGCTGGTCTCCGGCAATCCTTCCGCCTCAGCCTTCCGAGTAGCCGGAATTACAGGCATGTGCTACCATGCCTAGCTGATTTTTTTTTTTGTTTTTTTTGAGTCGGAGTCTCACTCTGTAGACCTGCTGGGCTCCGGCGATCCTTCCGCCTCAGCCTTCCAAGTAGCCGGAATTACAGGCATGCGCACCACGCCTGGCTGATTTTTTTGATTTATTGTAGAGATGAGGTCTCGCTGCCCAGGCGGGTCTCAAACCCGCGGGCTCAGGCAATCCACTCACCTCAGCCTCCCAAAGGCGCGGGATTACAGGCTGAGCCACCGAGCCCGGCTTGATTTTTGATTTATTGTAGAGATATGAGGTCTTGCTGCCCAGACGGGTCTCCAACCCGCGGGCTCAGGCAATACACTCACCTCAGCCTCCCAAAGGCGCAGGATTACAGGCTGAGGCACTGAGCCCGGCTGTGTTTTTTATTTTATTTTATTTATTTTGAGTTGGAGTCTCACTCTGTCACCCAGACTGGAGTGCAGTGGCACGCTCCCAGCTACCGCAGCCTCGACCACTAGGCTCTGGCAATCCTTCCACCTCAGCCTTCCAAGTCGCTGAAACTACACACGTGCGCTACCACGCCTGGCTAATTTTTTGATTTTATTGTAGAGATGAGGTCTCCACCAAGTTGCCCAGGTGGGTCTCGAACCCGCGGGCTCAGACAATCCACTCACCTCAGCCTCCTAAAGCGCTGGGATCACAGGCTGAGCCACCGAGCCCGGCTTATGTATTTTTTAAATTGTATGTTTTTGAGACTCCCACTCTCTTGCCCAGGCTGGAGTGCAGTGGCATGATCACGGCTTACTTCAGCCTCGACCTCCTGAGCTCGGGCTGTCCTCCCATCTCAGCCTCTTGAGTAGCTGGGTCGCATGGTGTGAGCCACCATGCCAGGCTAATTTTTATTTTATCTTATTTTTTTTTTTTTTTGAGTTGGAGTCTCACTCTGTCGCCCAGACTGGAGTGCAGTGGCCGCTCCCAGCCACCGCAGCCTTGACCTGCTGGGCTCCGGCGATCCTCCGCCTCAGTCTTCCAAGTAGCTGGAACTATAGGCGCACGCTACCAGCCTGGCTCATTTTGATTTATTATAGAGATGAGGACTTGCCAAGTTGCCCAGGCGGGTCTCGAACCCGCGGGCTCAGGCAATCCGCTCACCTCGGCCTCCCAAAGCACTGGGATTACAAGCTGAGCCACCGAGCCCGGCTAATTTTTTGACTTATTGTAGAGACGAGGTCTCGCCAAGTTGCCCAGGCTGGCCTCAAACCCATGGGCTCAGGCACTTCTCTCGTCAGGGCTTTGTGTCAGGCCTTCTAGAGTTGTGATGCCTGTTCAATCTCAGTTAAATACAATCAGTCTCTGTGTTCTCAAGTTCCCCATCGATGGATGCAACCAGTTGCAGATGGAAAATATTTGGAAAAAAAAAATGGGTGGTTGTGTCTGTATTGAACATATACATACTTTTTTCCTTTGTCTTTATTCCCTAAACGATTAAGTAAACAGGCTGGGCATTCCGTGGCTGATTTTGAACCCCTGGACTTAGGCAATCCTTTTGCCTCTGCCTCCCAAAGTGCTGAGTTTACAAGCTTGAACCACTGTGCCCTAAGGGACAACTATTAAGTGAATTTAAAAATAACATTATTTTCCCATATGTGTAAATCGTAACCCTTGTAGATGCCGTGGAGTCTCCCATGGAAACATTTTTCTGGTGACAGCATTTGGTCAAGAGATCTGGCACATCACCTGTGCATGAGAGTCCCGTCCTGGCTCAGGTCCCCCTTGGTGGATTTGATCAAACCACAGCACCTTCCTTTATCGGATATAAGCTCTGCTGGTTTGTGTTGCCCCAAAGAGACAAGATTTGTTTTAAGCCTTTCACTTTGTGTTAGTTTCCAATTAAGAATTCTGTGTGGTGGCAACGTTCTGTCGAGGAGTGCCTGACTTTGGTCTGGTAGGGATAGTAAATTAAAAAACAACTACTTTCACACACTCCAGTGGATTTTATAAAAATAGTAATGGATCAGTAATTTTTGCTGATTTAGTCGTCATTTTTTTCCCCACCACAGTGCTTAAAATGGACATGAATCAAAACTGTCTCTATCTGAGGGGAAAGGTCTCCTGAGTGTTGCAATGTTAAATCTTCTTTTACATTTTTTTTTAAACTTCTAAACAGTTGTGGTTCATGATGTGTATATGCTTAAAATATTTAGGCTACCATTTGTTTTGTCTTTTAATTCTTTCTAATGACAACCGAGAACCCAGATATTTTTAGCTTTAGTGATTTCAACAAAATTCTGTGCTAGCAAATGTTCTCATAAAAAACAATTCAGCTGTAGCTATGCAAACATACATGTGTGACTTGTAGATTGTGTTAGGAATTTTAACAATCGACCTCTAACAACCCTTGTGCATCTTACCTAGTTGCTTGACTTTTACTCTAAGTGTTCTTTGCCCCTTTTTTCCAACCAGGAAAAAGGCCTGTGTCATACCAACACTTATCTAGCAGCATGCTACAAAAGAGAAACTATGAGAATTTTATTGGAAATGCACATTATCGACCAAATGACAAGAAGACATGATTTCCTAATTTGGGGGAAAAAGGTGAGCGTATGTTTAATTAAATTTAATGTATTGATTTTACTTAATTGTAAATCAACCACCTAGCTTGTTTGATATAGCACAGCATAAAATTACTTCAAATTTAAATTTATTTATTTTTTTTTAGGTGTTTTACAATTTAGAGTGCTCAGGGTTTTTGGATATCAGTGATGATGAGGATAGTAAAAACAGTCTTCATAGTGACTAGAATTGACTGAACATGTGTTTTGTGCTAGACATTGAATAAAGTGGTTTTTTGTTTGTTTTTGTTTGTTTCTTTTTGAGTCAGAGTTTCATTCTGTCGCCCAGGCTGGAGTGCAGTGGCACTTTCACGACTATCACAACCTTGACCTGCTGGGCTCAGGTGATCCTTCTGCCTCAGCCTTCCAAGGAGCTGGAAGTACAGGCATGTGCTGCCATGTCTGGCTAATTTTATGATTTATTGTAGAGATGAGGTCTTGCCATGTTGCTCAGTATAGTCTCAAACCCCTGAGCCCAGGCAGTCTTCTTGTCTCTGCCTCCCAGTGTGCTGGGATTACAGGCATGAGCCACCACTCCTAGCTGAATAAACTGTTTTATAATCAAAGCTTCATTTAATCCATGTTGTGGGGGGTTAGGTCAGGGCCCAGCAGACTAGCCTTTCACCTGTCTTTGTGAATATGGTTTTATTGGAATGTGACCATGCCCATTTGCTTCCATATTGTCTGACTGCTTCCCTGCCGTAACAGCAGTGACAGACCATGTGTCCTGCAAAACTTCAACTGTTTATTGCCTGACCCCTTGAGGAAACAGTTCGTGACCTGGGATTAGGAGGGACTGCACACTTGAGAGATCAGGAGACTGAACCATGGGTGGGCAGCACGTTCAGAGCTCCCGGCTGCCCACATGTGGCAGAGGCCTGGTTTGGGTCCAAAGCCTGTGCACAGCCTTCTAGTTAGAGCTTTCTCAGAGCTTTTGCAAATCTTTTTCTGTTGGGAAAGAGGAACTGTGAGAGGAGCGAGGAGAAGGTTTATTTTGACTTTTGGTTCACATATCAAATGGGTCTTACTAGGCTCAAGTAGTATTATCAGAATTGTATGTGGCAGGGCATGGTGGCTCATGCCTTTAGGAGACGGAGATGAGAGGATTGCCTTAGCCCAGGGATTCAAGACCAGCCTGGGCACCTTGGAGAGACCTGTCTTTACAATAAATAAAAAAATTAGCTGAGTGTAGTGGTGCGCATCTGTAATTTCAGCTACTTGGAAGACTGAGGTGGAAAGATCACCTGAGCCCAGCAGGTTGAGGCTACAGTGGATGTGATTGTGCCACTGCATCCCAGCCTGGGTGACAGAGGGAGACTCTGACTCAAAAAAAAAAAAAAAAAAAACAATGATGCATGGTAGTTCGGTTTATTTAGTTAATTTAGCTAGTTTATTAGTTTGGGCTATACTCGGACTCATTCAACAACACAATGGAATTAAAAATGGGGCTCATGAACAGATTTAGTTCTCTCTCAGTCACCCCTTTGCCCCACAAAACCAACACCAGATGCTCACTGAGCAGTGTAGCCTGCCAGATGCCAGAAGACAAGAAGAGATGCACATGGTCCAGGGCAGAGTCTCCCCTTCATATTTTCACTGGGCCACACGTGGGGCACAGAAATGATGTTCCCCTGGGCAGCAGCTGTGTAGCCCTGCATCCACAGGATAATATATGCAGGCAAGAGAGAGTAAAGTGGTGTCATCACAGGAATGAGATGAAAGCATAAAAGCTAGTTTGTGGACTATAAGGCACAGATGATAGTAATAGATCGCTTGTAGTATCCATTACAGCTGGTCTGTGGCCCCTTTGTGAGTGCTGGGTTGCTGTGCTTGTCTTTCCTTCCACTGGGAGCATCTGTCCACACCCTCCTGGCCTGACAGTCTCCTTGTGAATCTCAGGACCAGCTCACGTGTCCTTTCTGTGATATCCTTGCTGGGAGCCAGGTCTTCCTTCTGCACATGGTCCTCCCCTGTTTGCAGTCACCCTACCTGTGTGTTTGTTGGCTGCCACCAGCTGATCTTGAAGAGGTTCCTTTTGCTTGGAGTGTCATCAATAACATGACAGGTGTTGACTGAACAAACAATGTTATAAACTGTTTTAGCACCTCATCCTGATGGAGGGAGATTATTTTAAGTCATGTTTGTTTTGTTAAATATTCTTGGTTCGTTCCATATATTTTCTTTTCTTTCTTATTTTTTTTTTTTGAGTTGGAGTCTCACTCTGTCACCCAGGCTAGAGTGCAGTGGCACACTCCCGGCCACCCCAGCGTCAATCTGCTGGGCTCCTGTGATCCTTCCGCCTCAACCTTCCAAGTTAACTAAACTACAGGCGCATATTACCACGCCTGGCTAATTTTTTATTCATTGTATTGACGAGGTCTTGCAAAGTTGCCCAGGCTGGTCTTGAACCCACAGGCTCAGGCAATCCACTTGCCTCGGCCTCCCAAAGTACTGGGATTACAGGCTGAGCCACCGAACCTGGCCTGTTTTCCTTTCTTAATGTATAAACTTTCAGAGTTTCTTGTAGGTGGCAATTGCCTTTTTAGGCTTAGTGTAGCTTTTACTAAATTGTGATTCTTGGTTCAATCACTAAGTCATCTTGGAAGTACACCTTGTCCGTTTAGTCTCGTGATGCTCAGTGCAGAAGTTGAATGTGTTGCATTTCTAGGCCCCTTATGTTCTGTTTATTACCCTTAAAAACTTTTTTTTCTAGACTGTATTCAGTTCTTATTTTAATCACTTCTTAACCTTTTTCCCCTCAGGTCTTGATGGATATAAGTGCATTCTCTCCATAAAACTAAATTTGAGTTCATCCCTTGAAAGCGAATGGTGAAAGCTACTGAAATAAGCTGTGATGTACTGTATACACAACGGACGAGGAACATGCTGGGAACACTACAGTTGTGTAAAGTTGTTCTGTTAACTTTTGTACCAAATAGCAATAAAAACTAGTTGAAACAGTTGGGTTGTACACAGATGGGGACTGGAAATCTCTATTTTGTCCCCAGATAATATTTTTTTTAGAATTGACCAAATAAGAAATGGGATTTTTGCATACTTGAGCGCTGCTGAAAAGAAATCATTTGGGTTGGGGGGTGGGATGGGGAGAAGTATACTGCTTGCACCTCAGGTAAAACTCTGTAAATACCTAAGTTGTAAACCTGCTTGTTCAGACACTGTGTATATTCTTTTTCTCTATTATAGTTCATCACGTTGAGCAGTGTCTGCTATCATGTTCTTTCATGTACAATGTATGTTTTTAACAAAACTCTTCATGATTTGTATTATGTTGAATCCTTTGAAATCTCTGGTTGTCTTAACAGAATTGTGAATGGAGGTGTTGACCCTCCAGGTGTGTGCTGTGGATATGGGGGCCAGCCATTCTGAATCTGGCACTCTTATTGAAAATTTCAGTATGTCAACTGAGGAAGGCCCCTCCTTCCTGGCCTCTTCAGATTGTGCCAGAACCTCTGTGCTCTTCAGCTGGGGGTGGGGTGGTTTGTAGGATTTTTGAGTGTGACCACAGAGAAGCAACCTTCTCTTGAGCAGCCAGACACTCAGCAAATGTACTACACTGTATGTGAAGTTATTTAAATTAGTTTTCTCTCAAATTAATCATTTTTGAAGGAAAATTCAGTTATGGGGGGGATATCTGCCTAAGCTAGTATATAAAAATACAAATGCTAAATTATGCCTGTGTATTACAAATATTGGGAAGTCATTTTAAAGAAAATGAAAGGTTTGGGGGGAAATGTTTTCGGTTTGCCTCTGGTAGTGTTAGTATGCCTGGCATTTGGGTTAACTGTGGGCATCTTAAAGAGAAGTATAGACACATCAATTGTAAGGAACGGCCGCCTGACTCCTCCAGTTGTTGGGGAAGAGAGAACCTGTTTCTAGATCTCATTTTTGTCTTCCCATTTTTGGTGGTTTTGAAACAGCAGTGTTTTTCTCAGTGCACATGCAATTTGGGTTTTAGAGAGGCTAGCCACCAGCTGGCTTACTCGATATTTTAAACTTTTGTTCCTTTAGTGTGTCCATGGCTGACTTGATCCAACAGTACGTGGGTTTAGCAACCACAAAATGTTTTATTAAGAAACTGTTTCAAAGATAAATTTGGACTGTTCATTTTTCTGGCCCTGTTCTTTTCCATAGAGCAAGGTTGAAGTCCTCAAAGAATCCTGATTTATATTTTTTTCATTATGCAACATGAGGTGTCCTTGATAGAAGTCTTAGTTCCGGGGCACAGGGAGACCTGACTTGAGACCAGTCTGCTGGCATTGCAGTGAAGTGCTTTGTATCGGGAAAGTGTACACTATTGACCTTTTTTCCTGTTCACACCTGAGCCATATGTACATAATCTAGATTTTGTTTTCATAGTTTTGCACTTTTATAGCCTATTTTTGAAGATGAACACATTTGCAAGATGATTGAGTCAATCTTTGCCTAATTCAATGAATGTTACAGAAAGCTTGCTGTGACGACATTGTCAATCTTAAAGGGGTTATGTGATAATAGAAGGCTGTATTAAAAAAAAAAAATCACCAAATCTATTTGAAAACAAGCCAATTTGTGTTATGCTGAAATTCTTTGGGCTTTCAGATTTCTCCTTTTAACCATATTTCTGAATGCATAAAAATTACTATTTTCCCCCCATAGCCCTTTGTACTTCAAAATATGTCTTTTTTGGTCCATCAGTATTAACTATTGGTATACTACTGGTTTTGTATGTGTTTTTTTTCCTTTGAGACAACAGTACATATAATAGAGGTACAATTCGTTGGATTTTTGTCTATGTATTTATTTCATTCCAGTTTGATTTATTTTAATTGTTGATACTTAAGTTGTCAAACAGTAGACATTACTTGTTTTATTTATGATATATTTCAGCTTAAAGTTATGATATTATATGTGGATGTAAATATAGATTTGGTGTTTTGCACTCTTGGGTTTTGGTCTTTATTGTGTTTCTGATTGTTTTATTTGCCTTTTTATAAATATAGTTTTAAACATACACAATAATAGAGATGAGAGTAATGAAATGAACCCCTATGCTCTGATCAGAACCTGGCCACCCTCACCCCCCTCCCTGGTATATTTTAAAGCAAATCTCAGACAGGATTTAATTTCATCCTTGAAATACTTCAGTGTCTCCAGCAGATAAGGACTCTTCATGATCACACCTGACTATAAATGAAAAATGATTTCTCGTAACCATCTTCTCCCAACCCGTGTCTCTCTCCTGGTTGCCTCAAAGATGTCTTCTCATGTTGCCATCAAGGTCCAGATACTGATCACACCTAGTTTATAGGTTTCACTCCCCACCCAACACACACACTTTTGTGACATTTATTGAAGAAATGGGATTATTTGTCCTATAGATGTTCTCACAACCTTGTTTTGGTTTATTGCATATTTGTGATTTCATTTAATCCATTCTCACAGTCTTATTTTGTTTTATTGCATATTTGTGATTTCACTTAATCCATTTCTCTAGCTTCTAGTCTAGAGGTTTGATGTAGATTTGGGTTCAGTTTTGTGGGGGATGGGACTCTGCCCTTCCTTTCACTTTGCCCCTGGAGACATCGATGTCTGGTTTTCCAATGTGTAGTGATTTTAAGCTTGATCGGGGGCTCAGGTGTGTCCAACTAACCAGCCATCCTAACATTCCCACTAGCCTTTCTCCTTAGGATTTTATCACGGTTGATGAACATAGGAATGTTAAAGAAGTTGGTATTTATTTTTTTTGTTAGAGTCTCTGTCATCCAGGTTAGAGTGCAGTGGCATGCTCATGGCTCAAAATAAAATAAAAATAAAGGTAAAGAAACCTCAAAGGATTATACTGCTACTTCTGTCCAAGTTTGAGTTTTTACTTCATTTTTTTGAGTCAGAGTTTCACTGTCGCTTAGGCTGGAGTGCAGTGGCATACTCATGGCCACTGCAGCCTTGACCTACTGGACTCAGGTGATCCTTCCGCCTCAGCCTTCCAAGTAGTTGGAACTACAGGCATGTGCCACCATGCCCAGCTAGTTTTTTTGATTTATTGTAGAGACGAGGACTCGCCAAGCCGCCCAGGTTGATCTCGAACACCTGGGCTCAGGTAATCCTCTCACCTCAGCTTCCCAAAGTGCTGGGATTACAGGCGTGAGTGCCCAGCTACTTCTTTGATTTTATTTTTGATTACTTGGAAACCTGGGTTCCTAATGACATTGATAGAATGACTCACCTGCTTTATCCTACTGTATGAAGGGGACCCCCAAAATCCAGAATTTACAAAAAAATTGTGTATTCTTACATGTTTAAACTGAAGTCATCTTCAAAGTACTCTCTAATGCAATACACCTATCGAGACTTTTTTTGCACTGCTCAAAAGTTTTTGAACTCGTAAATTGTGATGCCTTTTAGTGCTTCTGCTGTTTTTTTGTTTCACATTTCCCAAATTAGCAAAGCGTTTGCCTTTGTTGACTTTCTTCATCCAGTTGCTCGGGCGAGATCGGGTAAATAGGAAGGGTAGAGCCAGGGGTCTTGCTGTTTTTGGTCCAAAATTGCTGAACACTCAGCACGGTGTGGGCAGATGTGTTGTCATGGTGGAAGAACCAGTCACCTGTTTGCCCCACAACTCAGGGCATTTCTTCTACGATCATGAGACAATCTTCTCAAAACTTCCGAACAATACTTTGGTTGACCATTTGATCTGGAGGAACAAATTCTGAGTGTACTACAAGGGGCCCGCCCTCCAAAAGATAATTCCAGTGGGTTTTTTGGGTTCCCCCTCGAATATAACACACACGATGCCAGGGTTAATACTAGCAACATGGTTGCTAAATGAAGTTTTCAGATTTCTTTTTGTAGTTCTGTTTGTCTGTAGCCCCTGGTTTTCAAATTGTTGTCCCAGACTAACAAAACATCATCACTGAGAAACTGTTAGAAATGCAAATGATTGGGTTCATCCCAGACCTGCTAAATCGGGAACTCATTGGCTGGGGCTAGCAGTCAAATCCTCCAGAGAACACACGTCTCTACTCCATAGATTCCACTCAAGAATACAATGGGACTATCACGACTCACCAGAATCTCAACCTTCTGGGCTCAGGTGATTCTTCTGCTGCAGTCTCCCAAGGAACTGGGACTTCAAGTGCACACCACCAAGACTGGCTAACTTTTATTTTTTTTGTAGAGGTGAGGTCATGCTCTGTTGCTCAGGCTGGTCTCGACTGGGCACAAGCAATTCTCTTACCTCAACCTCCCTATGTACTGGGATTACAGGTGTGAACCACTGTGTCTGACTCCCTTTTTAAAAATTTTTTATTTTTATTTGTTGAGTTGGAAGTCTCTCTCTGTTGCCCAGGTTGGAGTGCAGTGGAACACAAGCCACCGCAGCCTCGATCTTCTGGGCTCAAGTGATCCTTCTGTCTTAGCCTTTCAAGTAGCTGGAAGTACAAGTGTGCACCACCATGCCTGGCAAGTTTTTTTTTCTCTTTTTAAATTTATTGTACAGATGAGGGCTCACCAAGTTTCCTAGGCTGGTCTCGAACCCCCGGACTCAGGCAATTCACTCGCCTCTGCCTCCGAAGTGCTTGGGATTTCAGGCATGAACCATAGTGCCTGGAGGCTAGTTTTTTGATTTATCGTAGCCAAGTTGCTCATGCTGGTCTTGAACCTGTGGGCTCAGGCAGTCCTCTCTCCTCGGCCTCCCAAAGTGCTGGAATTACAGGCGTGAGCCACTGCGTCCAGCTGGGGCTGGGTTTTTGGTTAGTTGGTTTGTATGCCTGGCTCTCACCCCCTTTTTAGAGATAAAGAGTCTCACTGTGTTGCTCAGCCTGGCCTCAAATTCCTGGCCTCAAGTGATCTTCCCATTCTGAAGAGCACATGTGTCTTCTGAAAATCGGATGACTCGAAGAAGACTTATTTGGAGTGTGAAAGCTGGTGGTCTCTCTTCTTGCTTTGATTCTTTCAGTACGTAAACGAATTGAGACCAGCCTGGGCAACTTGATGAGACCTCATCTCTACAATTAAAAAAAATTGCCAGGTGTGGTAGTGCACAACTGTAGTTCCAGCTACTTGGAGGGCTGAGGTGGAAGGATCACCTGATCCCAGCAGATTGAGGCTGTGGTGGCTGTGAACATGCCACTGCACTCCAGCCTGGGCAACAGAGTGAGACTTCTGACTCAACAAAATAAAAATAAAAAAGGGGGTCACAG